CTGAAGCTGAGTATATTGCTGCTGGAAGCTGCTGTGCTCAATTACTCTGGATGAAGCAACAACTCAAGGATTATGGAGTTCAAGCTAAGGAGATCAAGCTGCTGTGTGACAATACAAGTGCTATTGCCATCACTCAGAATCCCGTGCTGCATTCAAGGACTAAACACATTGAGATCAGACATCACTTCATCAGAGATCATGTAGAGAAGAAGCACATCTCAATTGAGCATGTTCCAACTGAAGATCAGCTTGCAGATATCCTAACCAAACCTCATTCAGAGGCTAGGTTTAATAAGTTGAGAGAAGAATTGGGAATGATGGATGATCTTCCCAGAGATACATAAATCAGAGTTGCAGAAGTACCAGATATGGATTCATCAGAACACCCCATCTCTGGTACCTGGACCCTTATCCATCAGAAGCTTGAATCAGAATTGCAAAGATCAGACTCGCAAAAATCAGAGTTGCAGGAAGGATCAGACTTTGTATTCATCAGAGGTCCTCGTATCAGAACATCTCTATCTCTGATACAAGGGCTGATATTCATCAGTCGGGCTGTGGACTTAGAAAAATTTTCTAAATTTCGGGCGAGACTGTCCAATAAACCGGAAGTTACAATTTTACCCCTGGTAGTTATTACCACTTTTGGAAAACGGCTTTCCGCCCACAATCCATTTAATGCGACCTCGAAACCGCAAATTATATCAAACGTCCACTAACCCAAATTCATATATACCCTTTCTGAAACCTAAAATCGCTACTGCAATTTTACTCTTCGACTTCAAGCTTTATTTCTCCAAATCTCCAACCTACAAACCTCTCAAATCTTTCCAAGAACCTGAAGATGAAGTTCATCAACATCACAGATCTCTCAGATTCTGAAGCCAAGGTGCTTGTGGCTAACATAGCCACCGGAATGAAAGTGGATATGTCTTCATTGCCGCTGCTGGCAGAAAATTCTAAGGTGATGAAAGCGGTCATTACTGGGATGAATGACTCGCAACTGACCAAGATAGTGGCTCATCCTTATGAACACTTCAGCAACTTGGATGTAGCTGAGTTTTATCTCAACGCCTACATCGCTGACAACACCATCCACTCTCAAGTCCAGGGGAAGGACCTAAAGATTGATGCTGAAGCACTGAACGAGTTCTTCAACATCCAACTCGACTCCCAAGACATTGACACCCCTACACTCATCGACTTGGAGTCAGTCGAAATCTCTGTGGAGACGTTTGTGCAGACTTACTGCCGGAAGGATGCAACCGGAATAGATAAGCTGTACATGAAGAAGAATGTCCTGAAGAAGGACTTTGAAAGACTGATGAGCATCATGCACAGATGCTTATGGTGCAAAACTGGGTCAACTGACCAGATGAACAATGCCAACTCCAAGGCCATCTATGCTGTTCATCGAGGAATGAACATCAACTGGGGAAAGGTGCTTTTCCAGTCCATCTCTGAGTCCATTGCTAAGAAGGACAAAAAGACAGGGATGTTCTCAACCAAGATGGGCCATGGCCTTCTGATTTCTCGACTGATATCCAATGTCAACATAGCGCTCAGAGAAGCCAATGAAGTCAACCACAACAAAACCATCTTTCTTACTGCATGCCCCAAACTACATGTGGCTGTTGCTGCAGAGTTGAAGAAAACCAGCAAGCTTGAGCAATTAAGGGAGAAACCAGTTACTACAGCTGCGGTTGATGATGAACAACCCAAGGGAAAGAAGAAGAAGGTTCAGAAGAAGCCTGACATCACCCCAGAGAAACCTGCATCAGAGGGTGACGCATCAGAGAAGGATGCACCAGCTAAGGGTCCTGTCAAAAAGATGAGACAGAAGAGGAGAAGAAGATCTCTCATTCAGAGTGACTCTGATAGCTCCAAATCTCCTATCAGAGTGGCAAAGAAGAAGAAGAAGGTTCTCTCATCCCCTAAAGGATCAGCACCTCAGGGGGAACCAGCACCAGAGTTGGCTGCTGCACTGGTGATCTCTGATGCTCAGGGGGAACCTGAGTCAGAGGTCCAACCTATCTCTGCACCAGCACTGCAAGTCACCATCTCTCCACCAGAGCACCCAACCTCATCAACTGGAGTTCCTGAGGTAGATCCCATCTCTGCCCTTGAGAAACAATTTCAAAGGGTGCTAACATGGAGGAAGTGGAGAATGGGACCTCTGCAGCAAATTCTTGCCCAAGCTGCCACTTATGAAACTGAGGAAGTTGAAGTCCTCAAATGGGCAGGTACTGATGATGTCTCTCTATGCTTCGACCTTCCATTTTTACATTCGGTTCTTGAAAAGAAGAAGGCAAACCACAAAGGCAAGGAGAAGCTGACTACTACCTCATCAGACGAGCATGTCAAAGCTTTATCTGAACACGAGGTTCCCATCCTTGAAGCATGGCTGATGGAGAAGAAAAGGAGGGAGTCTCTAATCAAGATGAAACCCATTCCAGGTGCAGAGGGAGAGCCATCAACTGCCAATGACCTATCTCTGGCAATGATGAACCTTATCAGAGAATGGAGAGAATCTCCAGTTGAAGAAACGGTTTTAGAGGTAATATCAGTATCTCCTATTCCTCTAATTACTTTGCAACCAACTCCATCTCCCCCACACTCACCTCCCAAATCCCCTTCACCCAAACCAACCACACCAGTCTCAACTCCGTCTCCTCTACAAATTCAGAAAACACCCCCTCCATCTCATAAGAAATCCTCACCTAAACAACCCTCACCCTGCCATCAGATAACCCCCATCAGAAGCCGATCACCTTCACCTCCTCCTTCACCCCAACATCAGAATACCCCCGCTCTACAAGCTCAACCTCATCAGAGCTCAGCCAATCAGATATCCAAATCTGCTCCTCATCAGAAATCCTCCAAACCGCCCTCCACCCAACACTCTGCTGCATCCACACCAAAAAGAGAGCCCGTTGTGAGGATTCTTTCCTCAACTGAAGACAATTGATAAGTCCGATTTGTTCATATATTTTCACTCACTTTTTGTGGCGTTTCTTGTCAAAATCGGGGCAAATTGAATCACTTTTCTGCGTTTTTGTTGCATTTATGTTAATGTTTGAAATTAGTGTTGGATTTTACGTTTTTAAGTAATTTGTGATTAATTGAAGTGTTTGGGTTGTTTTTGTGTTTGTTTTTCACTTACTTGTGTTATTTATATTTTGTAGTTTGTCAAATTTTGTTTTTCAATGCTCTTTTATTATTATTGCAATAAACAAATGAGGTACATTAATTAATCAAACGAAAGGAAAAAAAAAAAGTGCAGCTACGCTGCGTGAAGAAAAAGAAAACAAACAAAAAAATTAAAGAAAATGAAAAAGAAACAAAAACAAGAAAAAAAGAAAATGAGATAAGATGGGAGTCGGCCAACAAAACAGCAGGAGGGTGTGGAGTCCCATTTTTTGGACTATCAAAGAAAAGAACAAGAAGGGCAGCTTCAAGGACAGAAAGGAGATCCGGATTAGATGGGCAACCAGCTGCAAGGAGTGAACCGTGAGTTACAAGAGCAGACATGGGATAAGTAAAAAGGGGGCGAAAAAGCTACCTGGGAGGAACTAGCCCTGAAATTACTCAGCCGCGGTTGCGAGTAGCGGCAAGGAGGCTTTAGCGGCAAGAACTGGAGGAAATAAAATTGCAGGAGTCTAAGAAAATAAGCACATAGCAGCAGCACCAACAATTCTGGTTAATCTTTTGTTAATTTCAATTCCAGTTTCACACTTACATTCACACTTCAATAAACTTTTAGTTTAAATTACTGTATTACTCCGTATTTCATATTCCGAATTGCTATTTCATTGGATAATTGTGTTTTTTCATGATGTTTACTTACTGTCTAATTTCATCTATGAATTACTCTAGGTCTTTTATTAATTGTATTAATTTCTTGATTATTATGTTAGGCTAAATCTCCATGGGGTTTGGATTTGGATAAAGTTAAGGCTAATGGGTGTTCTTGAATATTGAATTGAATTTGGGAAAATTCTCTAATTTTTAGGACTAGTTGTTTGAGATAAATTTGAATGAGTAATTTGTGAAATTGATCACTTCACTTGTGAATGTTTGGAAAATTAATTCTTGCTTGTCTATGAGTGTAGAATTAATTTAGCTCACATCTCACACACCCTAAACTAAGCCTAGAAATAGGACATGTTAGGGAATTAAAATAAAATTCTTGTCTATGAGAATTAATGTTACTATTCTTAGAACGGAGAAAATACCCAAATTTATTTATAATCCAAGACACCCAAGATCCTTAATTAATTCCAAATCTAAACCCCACTTTTAATTAGTTAATTTTTCGTTACTAGTCACATTGAATTTACCCTTAAGTATTTTATTTTCAAAACTTTACTTATCCACATGTTTGCTAGTTTAATATTTTAGTTAGTTAATTTTCTTTCTCAAGATATTTAGCATGTTCACTAGTTTTAGTTTACTCATTAAAGTCATTTAGTTAAATTCGCCGTTACTACTTTTGTTATTTATTTTTTTATTACTTAATCATTATCACAATTAATCGTTTGAGAAAGCTTGCAAGGACTCGTACTAACCGGTGACCGATATTGAAACCAACACTTCCCTCCGCCACTCCTCAGAGACACGATACTCGGGGATAAACTTTTCCATCTGGAAAGGTTAAACTCCGTTTTACTACAACGCCGCGAAAGCGGCTATCAAATGGCGCCGTTGCCGGGGAGTGGCACGGTTGTAAGTTGGTTTTTATTATTGGCATAGGCGAACCCGAGTTAGTGAGACTTTCTCCTTTATTTTCTGTTTTTTTTGTGTTGTTTTCTCAAGTTTGCAGGATCAATTTGTAAAATCTCTCTCTTTCAAACATGGCAAGTTGCTATCATTTGCTCTCTTCCTGAAAGAACATTATTGAGAGGGTTTGATAAAAAAAAAAATCACCAGGATGAGGGAGAGGCAAACAGTGCTTGATGCTTTAACCTTGGACTTTTCTGAGGATGATAGCATCATTATTCCGCCAATCGATGCCACTGATTTTGAGATTAATCCTGATATCATTCAAGTGATATCAATTAATCAATTTGGCGGTTTGAAACATGAAGATCCGATATTGCATATGTTGTGGTTTAACAGAGTCTGTAACACATTCCGGATCAATGAAGTGTCAATTGACATCGTGAAACTTATCTTATTCCCATTCTCTCTTCGGGATAAGGCTGTTCGGTGGTTAAATTCTTTTCCACCCGGTCACTTCACCACCTGGAATGCTCTTCATCTGGCGTTCATGCACGAGTATTTTCCTCCATCGGCAGTTGCACACATCAGAACCTTGATTCAAAATTTCAGACAAGCTCCAATGGAAACAATAAGTGAGGCTTGGGATCGATACAAAGGCCTACAGAGAAAGTGTCCTAAACAATTGATGGATGCTTATGACTTGATGTTCTATTTCTACTATGGACTTCAAGTTGTAAGTAAAAGAGAGTTGGACCATTATTCAAAGATGGGTTCTTTTCTCGACATGACACCGAAAGAGAGTGAAACACTCATGGAGAATGTGGTCTCAAATGCTAAGAACTGGTACTATGAGACAGAATCTTCTTTCGAGACTACACTTCAAAGCACCGATCAAATCTCAGCCCTCACAACAATAATTGACAACCTGGCAACTCAAGTGAAGAATCTCAAATCACAATCGAGCCAGGTAAATAAGCTGAGTCATTTCATGGAAGTTCAGGAAGGTTTGGTGGATGCTAGTACTGAAGCACCCAAAATTGATGAAGAATCCATAGACGAGAGATGGACGTCCACTGAAAAGCAAAACTTAGTGGGGCTGCAAAGTGTGGGATTTGATGAAGATGATGAAAGTGAAAGTGAAGAATTCTTTGAGCCAATTTCAGAAAAAGTTGGTGTGGGAGGCATTTTGTACGAAAGTGAGTTTGATAAGGCATCTCACCGAGAGGGGGAATTTGAAATACTTGTGGGTTCACCATGCAAGAATTTTAAGGAGAAAACCCCGGAGAAAAGCAATGAAATTGAGGAGCTTCTGGATCTACTTTTGGAGACTTTGGATGTGCAAGTTGACCAAGAAAATTTTGCACAAAATTTGGAAGAAGAAAGTGTGGAGGAGGTTCTTGACTTGCTCCTGGATGTACTTGATACTAGTACAATGCTCAAAACAGTCCAGGTTGAAGGGGATCTGGAGAATGAGGATGACTTTCCTTATTTTATTTTGCCACCTGAAAATGAGAAAGATGCACAGGTCTTTGTTCTTGCTTGTGAGTTTTTTATGAAACAGAGGTGGTACACAAGAAGAGTCCCGAGGGTCAAGCTGTATGATCCGAGAGTTGGAAAGTCAAGGAAAAAGTGGAAAAAAACGTCAAGCTAGTGACGTTAAAGAAGCGCTTTTGGGAGGCAACCCAAGTGTTAAAAAAGGAGGTTTAAAAAATTCTGCAAAAAAAAAAAACAAAAAAATAATAATTAAAAAAAAAACTGCAAAAAAAAAAACCAAAAAAAAATATTTTCTTTTCTTTTCCTTGTTTGTGTGTTAGTTTTAATTCACCAATATATTTTGTTTTCTTTAGTTTTTTTTCCAGGTTAATCACCGGAGTTCCCTGATTGGATTAAAATTTGATTTGTGTTTGCTCTTTCAAATCTTCTTCAATATTGAGCACGCACAAGGGGAGTACTTCTTTTCTCTGTTAATTATTTCCCTCCCTGTGTTTATATGTGATTCATCTTAAGTGTGAGGAGGGTATGTTTGAAAAAATGCAGATTTGCCCTGTTTTATTTTGATTTTATTTTGAGACCTCGAGGACGAGGTCTATTCTCAAGTGTGAGGAGGGTTTGGAACAGGGCAATGGACTGATCTAATGTGCATGACAAGAGGCTCAGGTGAACTAAGTTAAAATCGATAAATAAGCTAAGGTGTAATCTACTTTAACTAATTTTTTTGAAAGTTTTGTTATAACTAATCTTTTTATTACCATTATACTTTTAAAAAAAATCTTTAAATATTAGGAGATATGCTTGATTTCTACTTTAAAGTTCTTTGCACAAGTTTGGGTTTTTGGTTTGACTGGTTGTTTGGTATTACTTTCTTTTCATGGATATATACAATGCTCCTTGGTTAGCTTAAAATATTTAAATTCTTTGGATTAGGGAGAATTCTATCCTCGAATGAGGCTCTGCTTTTAGCATTTGATAGAATATCTCTCGCTATTCTGGTTGTACTTGATTATTGATTTGAGAAGTGTCTTCGTTGGGAGTCTCATCTCCGAGAAGGGGCGCTGCTCTTCTCATTATCGTATTCTGCGAGAGTTGAGTATATTTTATATATTTTATGAGATAGCCCCACAAATCAGTGATTTAGTTCAACCATGAAATTCATACCAACTTGGCCTTGTTTATAGCTCCCCTAAGATCACTCCAAAAAAAAAAGCCAAAAAACATGCTAGGGGAGCTAAATCAGTTTTAAGAACTGGAGCTTGTGTGTATTTCATGACTAGTTAAGGATGACTGAAGCTTTCTGAATGTGAATGTTGACTTGTGCTCATAACTACTTAGTAGCAATTTTGCATATATGCTAGTATTACAGGATTTTTTTATTAGTATGTTGTGTCATAAAAGTTGAGTTATTACCGTACTTTCATGTAAATATAGTTAGGTAGATTAGAATCTTATTATATTGATGATTGATTCTGCGTGATCTTGAGCCCTTGAGTTGTGCACTATAAACGGTTTGCCTTAAAAATTTGTTTGCGAGTTGTTTTGTTGCTTGGGGGCAAGCAACGCTTAAGTGTGAGGAGATTGATAAGTCCGATTTGTTCATATATTTTCACTCACTTTTTGTGGCGTTTCTTGTCAAAATCGGGGCAAATTGAATCACTTTTCTGCGTTTTTGTTGCATTTATGTTAATGTTTGAAATTAGTGTTGGATTTTACGTTTTTAAGTAATTTGTGATTAATTGAAGTGTTTGGGTTGTTTTTGTGTTTGTTTTTCACTTACTTGTGTTATTTATATTTTGTAGTTTGTCAAATTTTGTTTTTCAATGCTCTTTTATTATTATTGCAATAAACAAATGAGGTACATTAATTAATCAAACGAAAGGAAAAAAAAAAAGTGCAGCTACGCTGCGTGAAGAAAAAGAAAACAAACAAAAAAATTAAAGAAAATGAAAAAGAAACAAAAACAAGAAAAAAAGAAAATGAGATAAGATGGGAGTCGGCCAACAAAACAGCAGGAGGGTGTGGAGTCCCATTTTTTGGACTATCAAAGAAAAGAACAAGAAGGGCAGCTTCAAGGACAGAAAGGAGATCCGGATTAGATGGGCAACCAGCTGCAAGGAGTGAACCGTGAGTTACAAGAGCAGACATGGGATAAGTAAAAAGGGGGCGAAAAAGCTACCTGGGAGGAACTAGCCCTGAAATTACTCAGCCGCGGTTGCGAGTAGCGGCAAGGAGGCTTTAGCGGCAAGAACTGGAGGAAATAAAATTGCAGGAGTCTAAGAAAATAAGCACATAGCAGCAGCACCAACAATTCTGGTTAATCTTTTGTTAATTTCAATTCCAGTTTCACACTTACATTCACACTTCAATAAACTTTTAGTTTAAATTACTGTATTACTCCGTATTTCATATTCCGAATTGCTATTTCATTGGATAATTGTGTTTTTTCATGATGTTTACTTACTGTCTAATTTCATCTATGAATTACTCTAGGTCTTTTATTAATTGTATTAATTTCTTGATTATTATGTTAGGCTAAATCTCCATGGGGTTTGGATTTGGATAAAGTTAAGGCTAATGGGTGTTCTTGAATATTGAATTGAATTTGGGAAAATTCTCTAATTTTTAGGACTAGTTGTTTGAGATAAATTTGAATGAGTAATTTGTGAAATTGATCACTTCACTTGTGAATGTTTGGAAAATTAATTCTTGCTTGTCTATGAGTGTAGAATTAATTTAGCTCACATCTCACACACCCTAAACTAAGCCTAGAAATAGGACATGTTAGGGAATTAAAATAAAATTCTTGTCTATGAGAATTAATGTTACTATTCTTAGAACGGAGAAAATACCCAAATTTATTTATAATCCAAGACACCCAAGATCCTTAATTAATTCCAAATCTAAACCCCACTTTTAATTAGTTAATTTTTCGTTACTAGTCACATTGAATTTACCCTTAAGTATTTTATTTTCAAAACTTTACTTATCCACATGTTTGCTAGTTTAATATTTTAGTTAGTTAATTTTCTTTCTCAAGATATTTAGCATGTTCACTAGTTTTAGTTTACTCATTAAAGTCATTTAGTTAAATTCGCCGTTACTACTTTTGTTATTTATTTTTTTATTACTTAATCATTATCACAATTAATCGTTTGAGAAAGCTTGCAAGGACTCGTACTAACCGGTGACCGATATTGAAACCAACACTTCCCTCCGCCACTCCTCAGAGACACGATACTCGGGGATAAACTTTTCCATCTGGAAAGGTTAAACTCCGTTTTACTACAACGCCGCGAAAGCGGCTATCAACAATGATGGCTTTCTCACAGCTTCAATGGCTGGTGATCTCCAATCCAACAAGAGAAAGACTCCTACTCCTCCTCCATCTCCTGCTCAACAACCGCAGGTCCATCATATACCTCAGCCACAACCTCCAAAAGCTGTTCTCATCCCCTTCCAGGAGTTTGTGGAATCAGCTGAAGACTTTGGAGATCAGATGATTGCAGGACTGAACAAGTTGCTTGTACTGAATCAGAAGCATGATGCTCACCTTGATTTGGTACAGTACAACATTGAATCTGAACTCACCAAAATCTCAACCTCTCTTTCTACACTGGCAACAACATTCCTCAGTTACATGAAGACATCCAATGAGAAGGTTGATAACATAGCTTCAGAGGTTGCCAGTCTACACACTGTCTTGTTCTCACAATCTCAGACTCTAACAGCACAGGACAAGGCCATTCAAGAATTATCTGATGCTGTTGATACTCTACAATGGTCTCATGACAAAAATGCAGAGCATCTGACAGATGTGGAGGAAATCTGCAAGACCAACAAAGAATTTAGTCTCAAACTGATCAACACTGGCAAGGAAAGAGATCACAAGCTGACTCTCCTGGAAGCTACTACAAAAGATATCCAATCAGCTGTTGGCAAGCAGAAAGAGACTCTAGAAGGGCTGGCTTCTGTTACTCAGACTCTTCCAGGCGCTCTCGAAGCAATCAAAGAAAACAATGCCACTGAATTCTCCAAAATTGGACTCCTACTTGGTGATCTTATTGATGCCAAAAAGGGGGAAGAAATCAGAGAACCTGCTAAAGTCATCAGAGCTGCAGAAGGAACTAGCACCAGAGCTGTCGATCCTGCAGAATATTTTGAAAGGGCAAAACAAAAGAGGATTGGTGCTGGTATTCAGAGACCAACTCCTCCAAGATCAAAGAAAGGAAAGAAGACAGCCTCCACTTTCACTTTGGCCCAATGGCTCAACAGTGACTTGGCTAAACCTGATGCTGCTCAATTCAGAGAGATGAAGAAGCATATGACCCCTATTCAACAGGAGAATCTCATTCTGGATAAAGATGGGCTAATAATAATTAACCATGGTGGGTCAATGCAAGAAGCAGAAGACTGGTGGCGAATGAAAGTGATCCCTGGCAAGGACCTGTCTGAAGCCATCAGAAACTATCTAGATTGCCAGCTTGCACCTGCCTGGTCAGAATATCAGAATCCCAGGAACCTTGCTACAATCAGAGCAAGAATAAATGCTGATCTAAAGGAAATTGAAGCGAAGGAAGCTCAACTAGAAGAGGAAGATTTCTAAACTCTATCCTCTTGTTGCTTTAAATACTCTTCCTTAATAAGATAACTAGCTTGCCTCTATTTTGCATGGCAATTTCAAATATTTGCATTCTGTTTAAACTTTCTGCTCTGATACCTTGTGCTATTTCTCTTATTCTTGCTTATCTGATTGATTGTATCTTACTCTTGCTATTTTTCATATGCCAAGTGCCCACCAAGATTTTAAATAAAAGTTTTTTTTTAAACTTATTTTCCTTCATGGTGGAAGGCACTTCTCTGGAAATAGGTTAAGGGTTTTGGCATCATCAAAAAGGGGGAAATTGTAAGGAATAAATGTAATTAGATTTTGATGATGCTATAGGATTAGAAAGTTAGAATACCCCCAATTAGATTTTATAGAATTCTCAATTGTAAGTATTAGTGTAGTCGACGATCAGAGTTGCTCTGTTTTGGATCAGATCAGAAGTGCATCAGAATTGCTCGACCAGACTTACTCTATGAGAACTGCTCCATCAGAGTTCTCTTATCAGAAGACCATCAGAGTTGCACCATGAGAGTTGCTGATAAATTTGGACATCTGATAACCGATGAGAGTTACAGATCAGAGGTACTCATCAGCGGACCTATCAGACTTAGAGTTAGAGTTCAGTCAGAGATCAGGAAGCCATCAGAACTCAACTCATCAGAAAGCCATCAGAATCCAACACATCAGAAGAGCCTGATCAGAGCCCGACTAACACTTAGAAGATTTCAAGCAACATCCAACAGATATGAATCCAACGGGTAAAAACATCCAACGGCTAGAAGACTGTGCATGAATGGAAAGCATTTAATGCACATTAAATGAGCCTGATACGCTGAAGGATTGATTGCAAATGATTGACCAAGGAATCCGGGAAGATATATTATAAAAATAGAAACCTTCCAAAACGGCGGTCAAGTCAACAGTACTCGCATTTAATGCAGTTGTCTCCTCCTCCAACGGGCAGACAACCTCAGTATATAAGCTACTCACCGAAGAACAGGAAAATAACTCTCTTCACAGAACTTTTGCTCCATTCATTACTCTGAACATACTTCTTGAGATTCAAACTTCATAACCCTACAAGAAAAGTCCTACGTTGGGAAGATTCAAACTCCAAATCTTTCATCCCCAACAACGAGCGAAGTTCATCCTGTTCTTCAACTCTTCAAGAACTTCATCAAACATCATTTGTGACGAAGCAAGTTGGAGGAAAGACTTTGTGTTTTTCAAAGGATCTTCTGAAAAGAAGGGCGTCCAAGTAACTGCAGTAGTGAAGTGGTGATACTTCCGGGAAGCTGAGTGAAAGGATCAGCCATCAGGACGTGGAATTGCATCCTGGGTGGCATCTAGACTTGAAGAAGACGAGGAGTGCTTCTTAAGTGCTAGGGATTAGCTTTGTAACCGATCTACTTCAAAGCTAGTGGAACAGTGGACTAGAGGAACGAGTTGTTCCTTGAACCACTATAAAAATATCCGGTGTCACTTACTTTACTGCAATTTATATTTCTGTACTTAGGACATTAACTGATTAACTCTAAGACTTGGAATCTGTGTTCAGCAGATCTTGTTTTCAGAGTTATCAGAAAGGCATTTGCCTTAGTGTTTCTGACGCTACCCGGACAGATCAGAATCCGCTGCCAAGGCCAGTTCTGATATCAGAACCAGCCTTCCTCTGTCACCAGAATCAGACCTTCTCTGATAAGTCAGTTTAGACTTAGAGAAAAATTTTGAAAAACTAATCAGTCTATTCACCCCCCCCCCCTCCCTCTAGACTGATTACCATATAATCGGGACCAACATAAAGAAGTAACACCTATGAGGATGAAGTAACAGCAGGGTAAAAAACTTAGAAATGATTTATAGTTTAGTTTATTTTTCTGTTTGTGTGTATAGTATTTCTGTTAAATGTCAATGGTTAGTGTCCAACTTTCTTTATAATCATTTGCAACACTTGAGACTAAAAGTAATTTTTACATTACTACCAATTTCTTGTTCTATGGTTATTTTGAGGATACTCTTCATACTTTGGATATTGAAATCAAATTAGTTAACCTCCATTAGAAGAACTACAAGGTACATTACAGATTGTGCCCGTAGTCTTCTCCAATACAAATTGCAAGGTGCATCACATATTTTGAGATGTCTTTAATAATGAATCTATGATGAAGATGAACCTGAGCCGGACCAGCATCGGAGCAAGAGGCAGAAGAGGACTAAATGCTCGTATATTCTACGTAATTATATGTTATTATTACTAATTAATATATTTAATTAGTGTTAGTCTTGCTACAGGTTTCTTTGGCAGTAGCTTAGTCATAACAGGAGTTATATTCATTAGCAGTAGCCTAGTTTTATTGGGAGATAGAGTCCCAATACTTTTTCTGCCTTGTAATCCTTACGAGTAGCCTTGTTTAAATCCGGTCTATTCTCGTATGGTTAGGTCTATTTAAGTTTTTTATTTGCAGTATTGTTCATTATTAGTATCTCTAACTCAATTTACTTGCTTGCTATTCAGAGCTTGTTGAGTTTTTACTTGCATCATTGTAAAGAGGACTCATTTCATTTATGCAGGGGAGAACTGGACTACCTTGTTATTGACATGCCTCCTGGAACTGGTGATATTCAACTCACATTGTGCCAGGTTTGCTCATACTATGCTCGCTCATGTTTCTTATAGCTATTTAGATTTACTAGTCTATATAATACAAATACATACATAGTAATAGCTAAAGCCATTGCTCACTCTAGTTTTCATATATGCAGGTCGGGGGAACAAAAATTAGAGTTAAGGAGATGAATGCAACGTTCTTGATCTTTTGGTCTTTTTATCCGCCTTGTAGTATTTGTGTATTAGGCTAACACCTTCTTTTAATTATTCTTGCCGCCGTTTATTCTCCTCTTTTACTTCTTTAATTCTAGGGTATACCATTGTGAATTATGTACATTTACAATTGTAAGGAATGATGATTAAAATTTAATGAAAATAGTTGTTTGATGTTTTTATTATTTATTGATAGTAATGGATGTTTTGATTATTTATTGATAATAAAACATTTTAGTATGATATATATGTAGTATATATATATACACATATGATACTAGTGTATCACTAAAAAAATATGATGCAATGGTATCACAAAAATTCTTGTTATGTATATATCACTAAAAAACATGATGCATTGGTATCACAAAAATCCTTGTTACGTATATATCACAGTTCCCAATGATGTTTATATGTCATAATTTTGTGACACAAAAGTGATTTGTTAACGGTGACACTAAATTTTGTGTCACTTGCCCCGCTTTTCTGTGACACATTCAGTGTGTCACTAAATCGTTTAGTGACACTAATTTAATGTCACTATAAGCCATTTTTTTTACTAGTGTCAACTGTGGTGACTGAGGTATGGTTGTTGATGTGTCATTGTTGTTTTTGTGCACCATGAAAATTGATCTACTTATTTACTTGATAGGTGGATTGGGAAAATGAGCACAATAAGCATGGCAGCAACTTCCCGGATATTATGATGTGTTTAAACGAGGTAAACACATATTGGTGTTTATAATGCAACTTCCAAGATATATGTGTAATAAAGCAATGTTGGTGCAATGCATTTTATGTTATGGTCTGTATAGTAAGATTGTTTAAAATGCATTTTAATTCCATGGTGTGTAACAGGACTCTCAGCAGGTGGAGGATGAGCAGTTACCTTCGGTAACCGCGCCCGGTCCATTTGAGAATTTGGATTGGGATGGAGGCGATGTTGGTAGTACACCGCTTGATGTTGAGCCACTTGAAGATGTCAGCACGAAACATCGACATAAGAGGAAACGGTGTCGTGCAAACTACAAATGCTCACCATACCTTGACCTGATTATCCCAATTGAACCTCCTATGTTTCACCCAAGCGACGATGATATTGCATCTCTGAAGGCGTGGATTGAAGAACCTGACAATGTAGAACCGAAAATGGTTGTTCTGAATCTACCATCATTTGATGAAGTGGATAGGGAGTTTTTCCGTGAGCTTGTTCAACCAGATGAGACACTATGGTCCTATGTGAGTGCCTAAACTTTTTCAATTTTTACATGATTCAATAATTGTCTCACGCTGTTTTTTCTTAGCATATGGATGCTCTATCGTACCTGCTTGTAAAAGATTGTAAGACGGAGAAGCCGTATAAGCTAATAAACCCTTACTTTACGGTATGTCTTTATCACTGTATCTTTACCAAACTTACATAAGTATTTCCAATTTTTGGGTCATTATAAATTTTCTTCGTGCAGCATCAACTGTTGAGTAAGGATGCTAACGATGAGAACGTCTGGACTCGCGATAAGTATCTACCAGCTGTGGACTGGAGAGGTTTGGAGAAGGTAACTGCTTAAACTCTTTTATGTAATTGTTTGTGTATTTTGGTTTGGACTCTTTTAATTGGGTTAACGTTTTCGTACCTCTGAATGTTCTTGGTTAAAAAGTGCTCAAGTATTTTGTTGTTGTTGTTGTGTTAAGGTTTTTGTACCTTTGAATGTTGTTGGGATGCATTGGGTTTTAGCGGAAATTGACCTACATGCAAAATTGGTGCGTGTATATGACTCTATGAGAACGAGTAGGTCAAGGTTGCATGCGGCCGATCTGTGTGTCAGACTTCCGCTCCTCTTCCGAGTCATACAAGCCCACCCAGATCTGAGTAAGGTAGAGGTTTGGAAAGCTAAGGCAGTTGCAGATGTTCCGCAACAAGAGGGAGGGTAATTGTAATCTGTTAATCTTGTATTTGTTTATGTGCAGTGTACAATTATGTCTGTGAGCACAGAATAATTGTTTGTTATGTCTGTGTTGTAGAAGTATTTGCGGACTCATGGTTGTTGCTTATGCGGAAGCATTGATGTTGGGGCTACCGATGAGGCCATATTGCGAGTATGCGAACGTGGCCAGCAAGAGATGGCATTTCGCACTACGGCTTTGGAGTTTGAGGCAGACTGTTTCGTAGACATATGTGGATGTCTATTTTTTTTGCTAATGTGTATACATAACTGTCATGGTTCCCATGTAAGAAACATTATTTTGCTGGTTTTGTGTTTTTGTAACCTTCTGGAATATAATGTATGATCATGTACATTGTTTTGGCGGTTGTGCTGTAATGAACGTTGTACAATGTCCTACAAGGTTATTCCCCAAGAGGGTTCATATGAAGCATGTAACCAAATTTCTAAGTTGGTTTTTGTGTTATTTTTAACACTTTGAAATGTTATGTATTATAATGTTCTTTGTTTGTAATAACATGTGTCTGTGACTATATAATATATTGTCTGCTAGTGGAAATTTGTTTGTCTGTGAGTATATTAAGTATTAACAAGCAAAATGTATAAAGTTGTTGAAGTAAAGCTTATAGTTCATAAAAAATAATGTTCATATCACTTTTTTTTCATCCAAGAATAATTTTGTATACTTTAAAAATATCTTAAATACTGGATATAATCTCAACTACATGGTATAATAATGATAATTTTAACTATAAAATATCTTAAACAATGGATATAATCTCAACTATCACATGAATATGAGCGTTAATTAAATATTTTCTTGTTTACATGAATATGTGCGTTAATTAAATAATGGATATAATCTGAATTATCACATGAATATTTTCTGCCCCTCCAAATAATTGTGTCTATGAATAAATATACTTGTTTGTGGCAGAGCACCGATCTGACTGTGAGGACATAATAATGTCTGTGACTATAAACGGTTTCATTGATGATACAACAAAAAAACAGTACATCATAGTACATGTATTCACATCAAAGATAGATTTAAATCTAAACCAGTAGAATACATGATTGGCCCATTAGCTGCACCATGACCAGGCCCTTCACCATTACCATGTTGAGTTGTGGTTGTGGGTCGTGCATTATCCTTCTTCGGCCTTCCTTTCTTACCCTTTTCTAGTGGACCCTTTGCTCTGTTTTTCCTTGGAGCTCCCTTGCGCTTCGTACATTTTGGATCTCCAATAGGTGGAAGTGGGACCTCGGCATGAATATTTGTTTTTGGGTCTTCAAGTGGCGTCATGTTGCCAACAATACAAGAATGGCTAACTAGAGGAGTATATGTGGTCAACTGGGTTTCCAACCAAAGGAGGACTTCATTGTATTTCGCCTCATCATCCACAATCATGTTGGCAACAGACTCAAATGTCTTGCATAACTTGTCAAAGCGTTGTTGTTCAACCGTTGTAATCCATCCGTCGTAATTGATTTTGACTCGTTGGTACGCTCTTTTCATGTCTTTCCTCCATCTACTCATTAGGTACACCTCGGGCAAGTGGTGTATATCAAGCCGATTAAATACCACAAGCAAGTGTCTACATATCATTCCTCTAAACTCAAACAAATGACAACTACATATTCCAAAACAAGTAATTGGGTCAAAGTCAATATAGAAGTTCACATTCTTCTTAAATCCATTAATATCCATATGCTCCTGCACTGTGTATTTTCTACCGTCTTCACATAAAAGGATATCACAATAAAGCTTTCCTTCAAGTAATTCCCTTTGAAACTCCGCAAACTTAGAAAGGGTATAAATTTGTTGCACTTGTTTTTCCATTGGATATCTAGTCACACATGGAATCATTTTGGTAAATGAGTTAGTATCCGCTTGAAATTCTTTTTCCACCTTATCACGCAAAGCACATCCGTATTGTTCAACAAATTGTTTTAGAGTGGTTTTTGAATTGACAAACTTATCGAAAAAAGCGTTGATGCTCTCACTTCTTTGAGTTGTGGACATGCCGGCCCAAAATGTTGGCTTTAAATAACATGGTACCCACCGGTTTCTTTCATTGTACATCACCCCAAGCCAATCATGCTCTTCTAGTGAAAACCTAATTACAATTTAAGTGCACAAACAAGTAATCAGTTTCTAAATAAATGACAAAGAAGTAATTCTCTGCCCACAAACACATTGTGTCCGTGAAGTACAAACTATATTGTCTGTGACAGACAGACCTGTCTATGAGGCAGAGAAATAGTTACTGCCAGAACAAAACACAAAGCTTACAAATTCATACCTTTGAACCATATCAAGCCATTTTTCCTCAAACTCTTGGGTGTACTGTGAATCATAAATGCAGTCATGTATAACATCCAATATTTCATCTTTTTGTGCATTCCCTCCGAGTTTTTCGGGTACCTTTTTCATTATGTGCCATAAACACCATCGGTGTTTCGAATTTGGGAAGACAATTGCAATGGCGTTTTGCATGGCACGGTCTTGGTCGGTAATAATCCCCATTGGAGCGATTCCATTCATGCATTCAAGCCATGCTTTAAACAACCACACAAAGGTTTGTGTATCTTCATTAGAGACTAAGCCACATCCCATTAGCAATGATTTCCCGTGATGGTTTACCCCGACAAATGGTGCAAAAGGCATGTCATACCTATTCGTAAGATAGGTCGTGTCAAATGTTATGACATCTCCAAATTCTTTGTACGCATATCTAGACCTATTGTCGGCCCAAAATACATTACGCAATCTTGACTCGTCATCTAAGTCAAGTGCAAAGAAAAATCCGGGACATTGGTCTTGCATTTTAGCAAAGAACCCTTGAATGGCAATTGCATCGCCACTACCTAACCTAAGTTGTCTCACTTTATCTATATAGTTCCTACAATCTTTTTCAATGAATGGAAGTTGATCATATCCACCGGCTTCAACAACGGCCGTGGTGAAGCTTTTATTAAGTCGTATTCCCGCAACTTCATTTATTGCAAGTTTCCTCGCCATTCCATGAGTCAACTTCCTATGGCAACGGAATAGTCTAGCCTTTGTTGGACTCATAGGATGTGAATGTTGTACAAACAATTTTGATATTTCCCAAAGTCCCTCAGAATTTACGTGTGCTCGTAGTCTAGCCCCACACCCTATTTGCATTGAAGGTTGGGGCTTCAATTGATTTTTTGACTGACTACCTCTCTGACCAGCCCGCAAACACTCTAGTACAATTGACACAATCTTTACTCCTTTTTTGTCTTTTGTTGTGCTCCTAGTTCTTATAGGAAAACCCAAACGCTTCCCATATGCTTTGTAGAAATCATAGACCGCTTCTCTGCTTTCAAACTCCATACCAAGCTCTGGGTCTTTACCAACTTCAATCTCCATTGCCACCCCTTCTCCATCTGTTATGTAACATAATTCATTTATTCATGCGTTGAAACCAACCTACTATCACACACAGACAGTGATAGGTGCACACACAGACAATTCACAAGTTTCACAAACACGTTGAATACCACACAAACAAACAAGTGTAAGGCGTTCTACATACACAAACAAAAACAAATATTAAGAACTTACAGCTGCATAAAGTTATATGTTTGAAGAAACGTATGCATGAGTTCAAACAAACTTAGGGGTACACATAGACAGTAAAAAATACACACACAGACAACTCAAAACTTCACCAGACACCCACAACACAACACAAACAATCTTGTCCACCACTATTTATTCATGCACTCAAACCAACTTACTGTCACACACAGACAATTCATAATTTTCACAGACATGTTGAATACCACACAAACAAACAAGTCTACGACGTTCTACATACACAAACAAAAACAAATATTAAGAAGTTAGAGCTGCATAAAGTTACATGTTTGAAGAAACGTATGCATGAGTTGAAACAAACTTAGGGGTACACACAAACAGTCATATATGCACACACAGACAATTCAAAAACTTCAACAGACACCCACAACACTACACAAACAAACTTGTCCACCACTATTTACATACACAAACAATAGAACAAATAAACAATTTCCACCTCTAACACCATGTCTGTGAGAAGAAATGTATTTTAACGTTCAATGAACTGCTAAAACCATGAGAGAAGAAGATGAAGTCATACCGAGGTCAGAAACGACGTCCATGGCCGCCGCCGACGTTAGTCCATCTTCTCCGCCTACGTCCGTCGTAACGTCACCTTCTCCACCTCCGGTGTGTCCATCACCTTCTCCAAGTCCAGCCTTCTGTCCGGAGCCTTCTCCGCCTACGTCCGTCATTCTGTCACCTTCTCCATCACCGGCCATCTGTCCTTCTTTTTCTCCAAGTCCGGCAGATTTTTCCCTTACATCACCTCCGGTTTCTTCAGCTCCGTCAATCCACATAGACCAAAATTCGTCGTCGTTTGTCACCATGGTTTTGTCCAAGAGAAAATCCATGGAAGAGGAAGGAAACTCCAGTTTTTTTGTCGTTGATGGTTGCTTAGGCGTTGAAGAAGAAGACACTGTGTGCGGGAGTTTTGATTTTCAAGAAAGGGGGGAGTGAGCGAGAAAGGTGGGTCGGTGGGGTGAGATACGCGGGTGAGGTGAGGGGAAAAGAGGGGGGTAATTTTTTTGGGGTATTTGTAGTGTGTATAGGGTGGGTACATTGGGTGGGTACAAAGAGCAAATTTGTTGGTAAAATAAGTGTTTTTTGTGTAATAGAAAAAGTAAAAAGTAGATTCTACACGGAAGCCGAGAAAGTAAAAGTTGATAGTGTTTGGTAAAATAAGTGTTTTTTTCTTAAAAGCAAACAGACCCTAAATGGATAAATGACAAATACCCGCGGGGGCTGCAGCAGCACGTGTTGGCGTCTTCCCCGAGTGAGAGTATCCTCCTGATGAATAACTTCCTCGAGATCCTCCTGACATAATCAATAGTCACAAAACTATGAAGAATGCTCCTTTTTTCTATCGGAT